TACGGTTCAGCAGGGTTCAAGGCATGGGCGTTGCGGTGCTACGGGTTTGGCTTCATAGGGTTTTTGTACGGCGTCATAGGGCTTCACGAGGGTTTGTTGAGACTCGGAGCCAACAGAGTCATGCTGAAGACAATGTGAGGTCTAGGGATTGGCCCTTAGTGCCCGCACACAACTACCCTTGTGTTCTGGTCGTGTGAATGTTGCGTGCTTGGTTTTCGCGTTCACCTAGAAGCTGATGTGAGCCTTACCTTCTACAGCGCGAACCTACCTGTCTGTAGGCTCTGAGCATCAATAGGCCCTGGTGTGAGCCAATTATTCGGGCGCGAAGAAGTGTGTTCTGGGAGTTCAATGTAGACATGTGCAACGAGGCCTTTGCCTTGGGTACGGCCCCGCCGGCGCTGCCTGCTGCGAGGTCAGTTGGGAAAAGAGCAAGCTTAATCGAGACTATTTTCGGGTCGAGGAGTTGAGAATTTGGAGAGAAGAGCTTACAAAGGAAGCAACATCCTTAACTACCCCGAAGCTGTAAACTCCGAACCTTAAGGCAAGGGTTTCGGGCCCTCTAGGGCGTTGCCTGCAGCTCTTGAAGATTTCCGTTGATCTAGAACCTGGGTGCTTGAAACCCTCAGGCCCCCGAAGCCCTCATATGGCGGTCTCAACAATGAGTAAGGTTTGGGGTTTGGGGTTTAGGTTTAGGGTTTAGGGTTTGGGGTTTAGAGATAGTGGTATCCCATAAAACTTACGAAAATTGTCCCAGCACCCACGAAAATATGTCCCAGCACCCTATAATGATTAAATCCAGAGCCCTTACAGAACTCTTTGAAGGAACCCTGAGAGGAACATCATGAAGGCCAGTATATTGTAACAGCACGAGCTCTATGTTTGCGGAGCGCAGCTCGTGACCTTAGAGTTTTTAAGGGTCTGACAACTAGTCATAACAGGGGTCAGGGCATAGGGGGGGTTTAGAGTTTAGGGTTTAGGGTTTGGGGCCAGCATTTATATTTTAGAGTCGACGGATCTAGTTATTAGGGCCCAGGTTTCAGGGTTTCGGGTTTAGGGTTTGGTATACTCTTGTGGCTGTAGTTCCATTCCACTACAGCAATACGATAAGATTAGCCAAAACCCCAGATTGTCATTATGGAGGCCCAGCCCTAAACCCTAAACCTTTCGATTATACGCAGGGGTTTAGGATACATCCTTTATTTTCCAAGGGTCGGGGCGGATGTGATAGGAGAAGCTCCCCTGATATAGGAACCTTAGAGTCAGAATGGCGTTGTGGCGCATGGTTTAGGGTTTAGGGTCGTAGAAATAGCAAGCCTATATGAGTATTGCCCATAGGCTCCATTGTAGTTCCTTTTTGTGGTTGCAGTTTAGAACCCTACAAGGCACTCCCAAAAACAACTACACTGGAGCCCAGGGTCTATGGGTATTAAGGCACCCTCAGGAATCAATGTGCTAGAGTCCAGAACCCCGCAGCTGGAGCAGCCTTCGAGCCTTAGAAGCCTCTAAGGGGCTTTACATTCCCCGGTTTAGGGTTTAGGGTTTAGGGTTTAGGGTTTAGGGTTTAGGGTTTAGGGTTTAGGGCCCAAAAAAAAACCTGCCTTGGAGCCCTAAGCCCCTAAGGCCCTAAGGGGCTAATCCCACAAAACCCAAACTCTGGAGCCCCCCCCCGCCGCCCAAGTTCCCCGACCCTTCGGAGGAGGACGGGGGGACCAGGGAACCATAAGAGGCAGTCAACTAAAACCCAAAGGCCGTTTGGGCCTTCGTAGCCCTTGAACCCCTGTAAGTCCTAAACCCTTAGTGGTCCGTGCTCCGGCCTCCGAAACCCAGCTCAACACGTACGCGAAGATCAAGACCACAAGGTATGATGCAGAGGAAGGTCGTCCAGGAGCGCAGAGGCTTGCAGTCAGAATGTCTGCTCTGCGATACGATGTCGGCACAGAGGCCTTCCGCTACGCGGACTCTGATGCTCGAAAAAGGTGCTTTCAAAAAGCCCTGAAGCTCGAGACCCCATTGGAGCCAAAAACGCCTAAGCTACCTGAGCCCTTCCAGACCCCAAAACCTCGGCACTTCAGGGTGCTATGGTCTATTGAAACTCAACGCACACAAAAACCCCGAACCCTCTTATGCAGGGCTTGTAGAGATTCTAGAGTTCAGACTGACCACTTTAAAATAAAACAGAACATGACACCCAAACCTAAACCCTGAACTTCCTCCTACGGCGAAATCCTTCGGGGTTTGTTCGGAGGTTGAGCAGGAAACCGGGAAGTGCTGCACATGGAGCTCCTCGAGGTGGGGCTCTGGCATTGGTGTTGCCTTCATTCTTAGGGTTTAGGGTTTAGGGTTTAGGGATTCTTGTTAGAAAGCTCTGGCTTTTTTGGTACTGTTAAGATTGTTGTGATGGTTGTGGGTGTGGTTGTTGTTGTTGTGGTTGTTGTGGTGGTTGTCGTTGCCGCTGTCGCTGTTGCCGTGGTGCTTGTTGGTTGATGTTCGGGTTTAGGAAGGGGAATTGGACGGTTTCAGAGTTAGGTGTCTTTCTGTTGTTTACTTCTACTTGGGCAATGGGGTCATCAGGGTTTGTAGGCTTTCTCGGGTTTCAGGGTGGCTGAGGAAGTGGTAACAAGTAGTGCAGAATCCTAGTCCAAGATCCTCCCATGATTGATAAGGAATGGTTGGGGATCCCAAATACAGACCTGTAAGCCGCATGTCCACTTGACGTCGAGTCAAGACTCTCTCTCCCTGCAGCAACATCTATAAGGAGTTCGCTGTGCTAACATGCGGTAAACTTGGTACTACGCAGCAGCCGTTTCCCGGAATATTTTCGGGCCTGGCAGTCATCCCGGCTTCGGTCCCACTTGCTTTCGACATCCGAGGTTTAGGGTTTTTGGGGTTTGGGTCTTAGGGCAATGCCCTCCTTCACAGTCCTCCAGATGTGCGGCAGCGCGTGGTGCCCCACACATATCAGGCATGCCTTCTTCTTCACTGGCGGCTGCTGCGACTGTTTTCGTGGCAGGCGTCGTGGCAAAGAGGCGGATCCGTGTGCAGTTTTCGATTCGGACGATCATTTTGGCATGATGATGTATGTCCGGCACCATGCATCGCGGTACATTCCGCTCATATTCCCTACCACTTCTACTGCTGCTACTTACTACTTACTACTTGCTACTTGCTAATTACTAGTTCCTACTTACTACTTACTAATGCTGACTACTAACTACGAACTACAAACAACTACTAACTGCAAACTACTCCTAGGGCATGCAGCGCTACGCCTGCGAAATGCACTAAGTCGGTTCGGTCAGCCTGCGGCAGCTCTATTGCTGAAATATTCTGGTTCGTTTGAAGTGCAACACGCAGGCACCACGACGACGTGGCTGTGGTTTCAACGTGAGGGATTCAGAGTTCACGTTAATGGGTCCGGGATGTGGGAAGCATCGTTCCTGGAATGCACTTCTTCCTACGAAAGCTTGCCCCAATCATGACATAAATGAAGCCGGAAAGACCCGTATCAACGAGTTTCAATGGTTGGCTGCAGTCTACCGGGTAAAGCTCATATAGAAATAGATCACCAGGAAGCCTACTGTAATAATGTCATGTGTCGCACACCACCCGAGAAATGTCGCAGCAAAGCCAGCGAGCTCGTCTTTTCAATGTCTTAAACCCTAAACCCCAAACCTCCTTATCAAAGTAATCAAACTCGAAAAGTCGAAAGGTATTTTCCGTTGGAGGGCAGTTCCGGGTCTTTGCAAAATATCTCAGTCGCCTGATCTTTCGTGTAACCCCTACCACCATATAGAAGCCACCCTACAAGAGTATCCTATGTTAATCTCGATTGAGGTTCAAAGCCTTGTAGAATCCTTGTGCAGCAGCCTGGAGAGACCCGACATGGTCATATTACTCCAAGGCGCAGCCTTGCTTAGCCGTGTTTTCAGGGGGGGGGGTGAAAACCTAGAGCAAGAAGTCCCCTTGTTGTACCCGTACAAATTTTCTCTAGCATATTGTACCGCAAAACCCAACTCCAAGTAACACGGCTGTTCTACAGTACTTCCCGAAGCCACTTCCAGAAAGTTGGAACATCATGAGCCTGATGGCTTCAGCGAAGAACACAGACAACGCTCACGCCCAAACCGTCTGTATCCAAACGAAAGCACCAACACGATCGCAAATCATCATTTTAATCTGTTTTGTGTTTGCGGCTTTGGTAGCCCAATCCAGTATTGGCTCTTCGTCTTTGCAGTTCAGGTTTGGGGATATTCCGTTGGTCTTGTCTTGGCGGGTCGGGGCTTGAAAGGGTTTGAGCTTCGGTTCTGGACCCTGGAATTGTCGGACCTTTTATACGGAACTAGGGCAACCAAGCTGTTAGGGTCTAGGTAGGGTCTGGAGTTTGTGTTTGAGATCTTGGCTCTATGCTAGGCGGACAACAGACACCGCCGCCGCGGTGGCAATGAGAGACCGGGCCTCAGCTAAGACTCTCTGAAACACCAGAAGGTAGGAGCAAGGCTGGAGAGTTTGGAGTCAGTTAGTTGTTTGGGTTGGGGTTGCAGGGTTTAGGCTGCTTAAGCTTGGGCTTCGGGTCTCGAACCTCGTAGCAACCCGTCTAGAGCCGTTCTAGAACCCTCACATGACTGGAGAGCCGCACTTCCCACCCCAGGTCTCGGGACTTGAAGCAAGCCTTGTGGATGCACCACTTTTCGTGTCAAAATGGGAGCTTATTTAGGGTCCCTAAACCCTAAACCCTAAACCCTATAGGTTAGGGTGGGTTGAGTTGGTTCGAGGAGGAGGCCTCAACTAGTCTCCTGCTCGTGAAAGCTAGGTGGTGCCTAGGCTCTCAGCACCGAGGGCGTTGAGGTTTGGGGGGTTTAGGGGGTCTAGGGTTTAGGCGGTTTAGGGTTTAATATATCCTGCTGAAAGCCCCTGGAAACCCCGGGACTCATCCTGATACTCCAACGTTGCTCGTCCAGGCGAAGAAAAGAGTGAAGGGAGGAAAAAAAGGTGCAGGCAACATGGCCGCGAAGCAGAAGGCTTTGCAGGCCGGCTGTGTTTCTACGTTTTTTAAGTCTTTGTCAGGAAGCGCGTTGTAACAACAGCTCTACAGACCGAACCCCCAAGCCCTAGGCTTGGTTGAGTTTCGCGCTGACCCTTGAGATTCCCCCAGACATCTCACGAACCAGGCTAGCTAGGTTTTGGGCTTCAGTTTTTTTTTTTTGGTAAGGTTCGGGGCCAAGGGTTACTGGTTTAGTCAATGGCCCCTGGGCTCCAGCAGCCTTCATCTGTCTGGTGCTTAGTAGGGAATGGGGGAATGGGTGATAGGGACTACTATAAGGGACTATAAGGGACTATCATAGGGATCCATTCCCCCATTCCCTATCAAGCTAAACCCTAAACCCTAAACCCTAAACCCTAAACCCTAAACCCTAAACCCTACACCCTTAAACCCCTAAAGCCCTAAACTCCAGCAGCCTTCATCCTCAAGCTGGGAAGCTGCCCGCTTCCTGGCCCGAGCCTTGCTTTGGTGTCGGCAGGGCCCAGGGGCTAAACGGTTTAGGGTTTAGGGTTTAGGGTTTAGGGAAACTCTCCACCATCGTAGATCTTGATGCTTGAAGTCCAAATACCCCGCAGGAGACAGGCTTGAAAGCCCTGACTTAGAAGACTTGAAGCACAAGGAACCTTGAATACTTTCAAAACCTCCAGAATGCGTTAAGAACCTGAAGCCACGTGGCTAACATCCTGTGGGGGACTTAGTCCTAAGGGTGCTTACTACCGGGTCCAGAAAGTTAACTTTTACAAAAGGTTCTCTAAGTGCACCCCAATCATCCCCACACGTTTGAAACCCGTGAAACTTAGACCCTAAACCTTTCGACCCCTAGTTGAAGTTGAAGCTCTCAGCGCTTGGTGCCCAACCAACCCTAAACCGTGAAACCTGGAAGACCAGCCTTTATGCCGATATAGTGTGCCAAAGACCTATTCTGACACTTGAGGTCCCCGTCTTACCGCGTTGGGTTGATGTACTTATAGCCCGATCGTTGCTGCTTGCTCGCGATAAGTCAAGCAACAACAGGCAACTCCATGCCTCTCCATGCCCGCAGTCGGTGCGGCACGTGTAGAAAAACAATTAAGAACATGCTCTGTGATCGTTAGGGGTAGCTGGCAAGCCGACTCGAACTTGTTGTCTGAAATGCCAGCTTGATGACCCCAGCAGTTTTTTGATCAAGTCCGTAGCTTGATGTGTTATCCAGTGAGAAGGCGCTAAACCAAGCGAGGCTACGTCCAGTTCCAGGTGTGGTGAGTACCTGGGTCACTGGAATTTCGCAGTGGAAATATTCACTGCATTTGATCCGCACGCTGTTTACAGCTTTTCCAAAACAAGCTTACTTTCGCGCGCTCCGATCCCCTATTGCAGCCCAACTTCCCAAAGTCCATGCAACCCTACTTCCCCCTCCTCCAAGCGGCAGGGCACGGCAGCAGGGCAGGCCAGGCATGGCCTGCTGCCCTGCCCTGCCCTGCCCTGCCCTGCCCTGCCCTGCTCTGCCCTGGCCCTGGTCTAGGAGTTTAGAGTCTAGGGTTTAGGTTTAGGGTTCAGGGTTTAGGGTTAGGGTTGAGGGTTGAGGGGTTTAGGGTCTGAATCTCTGAAATCCGTAAGAGGTGTGAAAGGTCTGGTAACACCTGGGGTAACCCTCAAAGCAAGCAGCCAGCTCAGCAGGCTCTCCAAAGCCTCGAGTTGGCCCAGAAAAAGGAGGAAGACGAGGCAGCTGCCAAGAAGGCCCGATAATTGGGGTCCAGAGTTGTGTGGTAGGGGGTGTTGGGCTTAGGGATTTTGGGATTTGGGGTTAAGGGGCGTTGGGGTGCAGGGGCTCGTGGGGTTTGTTGATAAAGGCCGGCCTAGTTTAGGCTGACATCCAAGTTTCGAGGGTTTCCCAATTGGGCACTTGTGGGCTGCCGGGGTTTTCGGTCTTGGGAAAGGTTACTATAGGGGCTTCAATAATGATTTACCTATATACTATTCTGGAGGGTTCCTTATCTTATAGTTATTGTTATAGAAATTGTATAGTATACCTCAAAACCTTGTTCTGATTATTAAGGCCCCTACATTAGCGGGCTCCGCGGCATGAAGCTTCACCCGAAGCCTAACTTCGGCGATTTTTGCTGGGTTTGACAAAGCCTGTCAGTCGCTAACGGTTTAGGGTTTAGGGGTTTAGGGTTTAGGGTTTAGGGGTTTAGAGGTTTAGGGGTTTTGGGTTTAATCTTGACGGGAGGCATCATAGACCCTGAATGAAGTATCAAATCCGAACAGCCAGTAGCCTTAAGCCACCGACCCCAGACCTCAAAACCAACAAAAGACACGAGTTTCAGCACCAATGAAAGATCCCCCTTTCATTTCAGAAGTGCTCAAAAAAACAGGCAAGCGTCGGAATAGCCCTTAATAGTATCCCCTCGGAGTCCCTATATAAGATCCACAACACCTGCGATCCCTTATTTTACTTATTCGGACCCCAAGAAAGCTGCAAAACCCTAGAAACCCATCCCTCCATGGTCTGAAACCCATCCGCGACCAGGCAGCCCGTCAAAAGAAGAACGGGCGCGAAGCGGCTCCGGCGGCTTTGCACGTTCAATTGGGGCACATGGTTTAGGGGTTTCGGGGTCCAGGGGTCCAGAAGTCGGGGGATGGAGAGGTCTGAGGGCAAGGCGGCTTAAGTTGATCCTTGAACGTGGAGGATCCAGAGAGCCACTCCCAAGCACTCCTTGACCTCCTAATTAGTTATTTAACCTTCAACCCTCCTTCAACTTTTTATCCAAAACTCAGCTAAATTCTGAGGCTTAAGCCGGTTTCTTCGGCACTAAACCCAATGCCTCAACTTGAACTTGACGGGGCTTTGACTCACAAGCCTGCCGAGAGGGGATTTCGTAGCCCTAAACCCCAATGCTAAGCCCCAAATCCCGAAACCCAAAGTCCCAAAAAGCCAAGACATGTGTATGCCCCTTCATCCCCTTCTGGGACACGGCTCACATTTTCGGGAATGGTGGAGATGGCTCCTGGTCAGCCAAGTAGCCTGAACAATCTAGGACATTTTCAGGTGG